TGGAAGAACGTATTTATCACAGCCAGATCATGTGCAACTGCCACCTGCTAGATGTTCTCTCCTTTATTTAACCATGTCCATTCTCGCCATAGATCCTGTCGTAATCCCTTCGATGTTTCCCGATGTGCCCATTAAGGTCACTCCCGATTATCACTTTTTTGGTTTCGCGGTATGTTTTGCAGTGCAGCATCTAGGCTGTCCAAGAATGTCGACTTTTCAGCTTGTTCGGGCAGTCTAAGGGGCGTAGTTTCTTATTATATTTAAGATACCATTTTCCAAAGTTAGCATAACATCAACGATTCCGTCTTTAATTCGGTTGACTTCAAATACCAGTCTTTCGTCGCTTCATTTAGTACCAATCCAACTCCACTGCGTCTGCTTGATGTTCCACAGTAAATAAGTTTGTAGCCTAGCCCAATCTCTTCCGACTTCTCTTTTTTCCATTTCATCTCCTGAATACAAGCGAACTAAACTTTTTTCTCTGAAGAGCTTCTGCTAGCTCTGCACCCTTTCCCGTCATTGTTCCAATGTTTCAAATGGCGATTCCCATTTTCTCATATCGTTTTCGGCATGTCAATCATCTCTCCCTCTGCGACTGCCGTTCGTCGCAATAACTGGTACCCTTGCTCATTTCTTACAGCCGCTGGGATTTGCTGCTGCGCGTCTCCTGTGGAGAACGCCCTAGAATTCTTTCTACAGGTAGGCTGCCTCATCATATTTGGCTTTGGCATTGATTTTTAAGGCCGGCTGCCTGCCTGACGCTAACCTGTCTTTCTCAACCGAGCTGGGAACCGGCTACGGCTCGTTAGGGTCATCAGCATCCTTATTTAGTGGCAGCATGTACTCGCCATGTCACCGCACTGTCATCGGGTGATGCGGTATTTTCTAAGGCTAACCGTGCCAAAGATTGGCTGTCCGCACTCACGTTGCACTCTAGTGACGCTGTCCGCGACTGCATATTCGTCTGGTTTTCTGCTTATTTCGCAGCTGACGCTCATATCTCTGGGTTATCCCCTTCTCCGCAACCTGTAAACTCGTTCGGCGACATCTGACCTTTCCTCGACACTACTATCGGCCCAGACTCAGAAGTCGCTTTAACTGGGTAGCTATTCTTGCAAAGCCTTATTCCGTTAAGTTTGGTTTCTTGCATTTCTTTCCGTCCCTCGCTCTAGAATAAGAGAAGTACGACGTTTTTGACAGATCATTGTTCATAATATTGGAATAAGCATAACTTTCCTGCGTCTTGTTTTCGATTCATGGTTTACGACACAATCCACGAATCAATTGGAATTATTTATCAGATGCAGCCCCGAGAAGAGCTTCTTTCTTCAAGCATACCTCACTAGTTTACACGGTGTCTGCGTTGCAGATCTGTTACCGCCGTATAATTTGACCGGCTGCGCACCACACTGGTAAAATGACTTACGCACCTTTGATTTTTACTTCGTTCTTAAATGACTGCTGCTGTTTACCTGCTGTACTGACTGCGTAAATGCCGAGTCGCTTATGTTAGCGTTCATCTGCCTTCAACGCCAACTGCCGTGATAGTCTGGGCAAATGTATATTTTAACTTATTAAGGCCCAGATGGTATGCCAGATGATGTGATAGTATGCCTTAATTATTGACACTTATCCTAGGGTCTCAGCCTATAGCAATTCAGTTGTTTCGAGGCGGATTTGACACTCTCTTGTTAGAATGCAAATTAAGAAGGCACAACGGCTTATCGAAAACACGAATACCAGTGCAAGGCTGTTACACTGACATCAATCCTTGACAGTTGACACAAGAAGAGAGTAAGTCAATATTGGAAAATTTCTCTTTCTCGGCCTTTAGGGTTCAGTTTCTAAACGAGTTGAATCAGTTCCAACTGACTAACATTTGAAAAACTGAGGGCTTTCCAACTGGCAGAACCTAAGATCAGTTACATCAGTGATAGGTTTCAGTATAAGCCCAGTTTGTCTATTATAATCACTAGAGGATCCCACTAACCTACTATTAAGACAGACTGACCCATTCTAAAAATCTAGCTAATATTTCAAAAAAAAACTATGAGCTTCCACTAACACTAGCAATTGTATGAAATAACTTTGATCACAGACAAATTGGCCTTTTCTTTAAACAAACAGATCGTTTGCTTAAAAGATTCAGAATTGGAGTTCTCCTCCATTCCTGTACAAAATGTTCATAGGCTCATCGAAGTTGCATGAATCGTTGGTTTGGACAGATCCTTAAACCCGATACAAACAGAGTATATATTGCCTAATATGGTACGACTGGTCTAGCTTTTTAGGAGGCTCAAAAAAAATCAAAATTTGCACCGACAGAATTTCCTGAAGTAACTTTGATATTATGATTTAAAAGATTGCTTTAGAAGCGAATGAAAAATCGATTTTTATTATGTCAGTTGTTACATGTGCAGATACGGGTACCTTGGTCTTGAAGCATCACATCTGGAAACGCTTCTGAGTAAAGATTACAAAAATGGATGTTTCTTACCCAACTTCAACCGATTCTCCGAAACTGAGAGAAACAGAGAACGCCGAACGCCAGACACTTGAAACATCACTGGTCTAACATGTTACTAGAGACAAGATGCAGGGTACGACGGTACGTCTTACCCACCCGCTCTACTGTAAAACGTTGCGATTTGTGCCGTATGAGTGGTGCCCTGAGCGCCGATCTGATTTAGCATGGCATGGAATGACGATTTTAAATCATATCACAGTCAATCGTCAGTCATTTATTGCCGGAAGGTCTTGTTCATTTAAAGGTTGCTCGACGTGACGACGTTGTCCGGGCAGAGAATTCCAATGTTAAGGAGTCAGCACTCCTTGCAGAGTTTGATCCATAAGTCTTGATTTCCTAATCGAAGTTGTAGACATAAACAGAGACCAGATCAGGGTAAAAATGGTAGAAAAAGTTTGAGCACCAAAAAAGTCGTTGACAGCGATTTTTTTTACGCAGGACAGTATCGTGCAATGACGGTGTAAAGGTCAGAACAAATCAGCGAGTGACCACAAAGCCGAAAACAGGTTTAACATTTCCAAGTTGGCAAGTTCAGAATTAGGTCCGATGTTTTTGCACGGTTATCCTTTATGCTTGCATTGGAACAGGGTCTTTAACATTTCCCTTATTTCTTATGCTATGCTTAGTAATTGCTACCATCAAAGTGTAAAAGATATCCTAGATTCGAATAATTCACTAGACGTTTCGTTCTTTCCAGAGATCTTCGTTGTTTAGCTGACTTAAACTCTAATTGTTATACGTTTCATATAATTGGAAACATTTTCGGTACTTAGTTCGCTTCTCAGCCATAATTACTGACCGGTAAGGGGGAAAACAGTTTCATCCACCAAAGTGCTGTTCTCGTCAAACCTGAGCAGGTGAGTTAGAAAGCTTTCGAGGAATTACGGTAGTTGCTCCTACTGCACTAAGGGAACGACGTCGCGTGGTAAATCTCGTACCGACGCTGAAGTCGAAGCAGGATTACAAGGTAAAAGTGTGATCAGTCAATAGGCGTTTGTATTTTCTGTAGAATTTCTGTGACATTTGGTGCCTGTTCATCAAGACGCTGTAGTCGTCATAAGCGTTTTTCCACTTCTTGAAAGGTTCGCAGATCCATAATAAGGTTGATTCCTTTTCGAAATTCAACTTTTGACTTAAAAAGGTTCAGCAGTAATAGCTTAAAATTTATGCACTTCCAAAAATGCATCATAATATCATCATGTGTTTAGAGGTCGGTCGGTGCACATTTCTAGGTGGTTTCTCTGAATTTATTATTGTCATAGCATAAATCATATTCAGTGCTGTTCATTTTCTGGTGAAATCCTGACCATGTGTCGGTCTCGTGCCAGCGTGCAACCTCACAATACTATTCTTTCCAGAACCTCCGTTATGTGCAAATATACTTCAAACTAGCGTTGAAACTTAGTCTCCGTGATGGCTAAGTGATTACGGTAGTTGAAAGCTGGGCCTGGAGAAAAAGTTAAGCCAACTCCTGCGGTGATATAGAACGACAGTACTTCAATTTTTTATTTTTATTTCCTTCTCCTTCATGGAAAAGCGATAAAACTGCACAAAGTTATGCATATTCCTCCTTAACCACAATGAAATGGTGCCATACATTAATGGCCAGGCTATTCAATAAGAATGACGGCAAGGACACTTGTAAATATTACAGTGCGTTCTAACTTATCTGGAATTTTTCGCTCGTGCTTTAGTGGTAATACTGTGAAATAACATAGAACGGTTTATTTATACACGACGCATAACAGATTGGGTAATCGGATGATAGCAATACCGACGTTTCAGTCCGTCTCATTGGCCTCAAAGTAAGACTGGTTGACAGGAGGCTCTCAAATTCCAAATCTGACAATCACTGCGGACAACAAGAAAAATTACTCAAACTTTACCAATCACCTACGTTAAGGAAGGCGCGTAAAAGACGGGCCAAAATGTAGTATTGGTAATTCATGCAGTTCGCCATATTTTTTGCGTTGCTCTTTTTATCATGTACTTACTTGCGATCACATTGCTATTCAGCTGAATCATTAACTAATGACTGACTTGATATGCCACGGTCGGACCGTTTTTAAACCTAGTTTGTTTTTTCTGCTTGACTTCTAGAAGCTGCATACAGTCAGTGTAAGTGCCAGTAGCTTATTCTCATCATCCATCATTGGACATGCAGAGCTAGGTTTCGTGGCAATCTGCACTTCAGTCCAAGTCGTCACCT